TATTATTTCCTTTATCTGTTCTATGCTTCAACTTTGTCACTGGGGCCCTATCTTAAATGGCCAGAAAATGAAAGAAAAATTCTCTCAGAATAACCCCGGCTTGGCAATTGTGTTTATAGATAATGATAGCACTGAAGCTGTTTTGGTTAATAGTAGGGTGTTTCTTGTCATGGTTACCTTGGAGGAAAGTGCCAGAGGAATACCAGCTCCATATCCATAAGTTATTCCATTGCATTTGGTTTTAAAGTCAATTTCTGTCTTCAGACAAGAACTGCACAGATGAGTTACAGGTGTCCAGGTGAAAAGATTTATGTGGTCGATGGCTGTTGTCCTCTGTATCGCCATGCTTTAGTACATCTGCATAATGCTGTGTTGCATGAGCACTCAGGATTAACTATTTCTTGTACTCTATAACTTGGTGTTACTACCACTGATGGAAAAAAAAATGTATTATTCTGGATTCCCTCAAATTTACCTCAATGTGAGGCAATTAAATTAAATGGGATTACCATCTTCCTGTTCTTCTCATGGTAGTGTCAACATGAGAAAGAAAATGAAAGGGCTGTACCATGAGAAATGCCAGACTTAATTAGGTAAGGGCTCCACAGGGCCCCCAGATTCCATAGGGGGGACCTGAGCATGAAACTCAAGTGTGATAAATACTTGTAGCTCCTTGGGATCTGTTGAAGTTACGACTTTGACATACTTCATTTGTCATCTTGCAGTAGTCTGAGAAGTGCAGGCTTTGAGGTCTGCATTCTGTTTACACTCGTCTGTTAGGTCATTAAACCATCAGGAACACTTGTGAGTGCTCACCATGTATAGGCACTATTGTGAGGACTTTACATGCAAACCTTGCCCCTCTTCAGATGAGGAAGCAGTGGCAGAGAGAGGCATTGGTCAGTCGGTCAGGGTTAGACAGCCAGCAGCCTAAGATTCAAGGTCAAGACAGATTGAGTGTGCATTTGTGCTCCACGAGCATTGCTGTTCTCCCACCGAGAGCTGCAGACAGGGCTTCGAGAATTCACTCCCATCCTCTCTCCCCAGGAAGAAAACCCACTGAGGAGGTGACTTTCTTTCTTTTGGGCAGACTATATAATTTTCTAAACACAAGGTTGGCATAGTTAAAAACATGCTATGTATGTATGAAATTGAATGTCTGAATTTTTAAACATGCAAAGACAGTGGTAACACGGTGTTTCAAAGGTTATTGCAGAATGTGCTTGGGCGCCCTCAGTTGTTGCTATGTAGTCTGTTATGGAAAGGCATGTGTTCTTACACTCTTTGGCATGTTCATATGTTCTTCTTTATTCCCCTTCCTTTTTTATTTCTTTTCTCCACCACCATTTTTTTAATTAGACTGTTTCAGGCATCTTTTATGATTTAAAAAAATTTCTTTCTAATGTAAAGGCCCAAGGGTGAAATTGAATTAAAGTATGTAGAATTTTGAATTTGTTTGTAGATATTTTTGCTAAATTTATTTTGCTAAGGAATTCTGCAGGTTTCATCATTTTTTATGAGAATCACTGTGTCATTCAGTCCTTATACCATGGTATTCTCTTTACAAAGAAACAAGAAATTCGGTCTCATTAATCAATTTTTACTTACCTTTCACTCATAGGTTACTTTACACGTACACAGCATTTGGTCTTTCACTGCTGTGTTTACTTTGAAAATATTTAAAAATGAATGAAAGAGGTTGTGGCTGCACAGGATTGAGAATGTATGAAACACCACTGAATCGTTCCCTTTAAAGTGATTGATTTCATTTTCCATGAATTTCACCTCAGCGTTTGAGTCCGTGTGCGTGGAGTGCAGACCCACAGGCAGGATGAGCTGCCTTGCTGGGTTTGCACAGCCTCCGCATACTGCAGTTGCCTCATACACTCTTGGAGAGTGGGCTGGGAGCGAAATGCAGGCTGCCTTCTGATCTCCCAGTTATTTTGTGTTTGGCCTGTAATGAGTTTGAAATGGTTATTGAGTGATAGAATTCGACTTGCCTTGAAGGTCAACTAATCCTGCTAGATATTAGCGTGCAGGTTTTATGGTTGCCTGAGGAGCTATCCGAATAGCAGTCTACAGAACGCAGAGTGAGGATGAGCCCACTTAGGAAATGGTGGGAACTGCTATATCCCTGTATCATTAAAGGACTGATCTTGGTGGTATGACTGAGCTAGAAAATCCTGTAGCTGAAAGAAAAGAAAGCCAGCTGGGGAAGCACACAGCTGAGTACGGATCTCCAGACTGCCAGGTTTCTCTAGTGCTGCCCTAGAGGAATGTGTCAGTCCACCTCTGCATTTCCTCCTCTTGAACTAACCTGTAGATACCCATCATGTATTTCTCTAAAGGGACAGATTTTCGTATGAGTTGTATAAACTCTATTGTGTTAAAACTGTTAATCCTTTGCTATCCATACTTTCCAAGTTTGTTATGTTTGGAAATTTAAAATGTATGTTTAAATCTTTATAATTTTTGTGTTGTCACATCTGTTATTTCTTGTTGTATGTCACGCTAGTCTTACCTTTTCTGGTTCTAGTAATTGATAAAATTGATTTAATTGATAAATTAATTGATAAATATTTAATGTATTTTCTCCAATTAAAATTTTTGAGTCTATAAAAGTCTAAATTACTAAAAATTTTCTTAACAGCATTTATAGATAAACACATCAGGGTAATTATGTTCAAGATCCAGTTTTGATTTGAATTTGATAAAATTAATTTGCGGAGAACTGTCATGTTTGTGACATTCAATCTTATAACAAAGGCTTATGTTACATTTCTTTGTGAAATCCTGTTTTTTCTTTTCACGTAGGCTATACACATTTTTTAAATTAGAGCCATTAGAAATATTTTGACTTATTTCAAAATGTACCTTTCGCATATTATTTTGATCATTTTAAAGTGCCTGGTCATTGTTACTGGTTTTTACTTGTTTATCTGATACCCAATTAAATCATCAGCTTGATGCTCATCGAATAGTTTCCCAGTTGATTCTTGAGTTTTCCCTACATAATCGTATGCCTGCTCTCCCCCCAAAAATCCTCAGTAGACCTTTTAATTTTATTTTAATCCGTATCGCTTTTTACCAGACCTAAAAAATAATAATGGCCCTCTCTCCCATTTCTAGAGATAAGAAATGAATATTTCACTTTATTAGTATTTTAGGCTTATATTGAAAGAGTCATATGATTGAGTCTATAAAATTATGTTGTTTATAAACTCTAATTTAAATTTGACTTATATATTATTTTGATTTTCCTTTGGTTGGCCAGGCCAAAAGAAAGATTAACATTGCTTTAGATTGTTTGTGCCCAACTCTTTTCTAGAAAGCTCAGAGCTGTGTTCTATTCCCTACAGAAACAAATTTTGCTTCTGTGCAACCTTAACCCTTACATGAAATGAAATGACTGTAATCTGATTTTACATTTTTCTGGAGTCTTGCTCTTTTTTTTTTTGCCTTATTCATAATACCCAAAGTTGAAATAGCCCTTTTTGTGCATCTGTGTCACATTAAAGTCCTTTATCCTTTCTGGAAGAAAACTAAAGCTTAGCTTTTTTTCGTAGACATGACTGAAAAAGATAGTTTATTGAATCTCCTGTATCTTTGAATTAAAAAGCACGTTCTTCTCTGGTAATAAGGAATCATAAATGTTAGGGATGTAATGAGGCCCACTGTCTCCCCTTTTGTAACAGGAAAGGAGGAGGGTTAAATTCTCAATCAGTGTTTTTATCTTCCTTACAGTAATAATTAAGCTGAAAATTTTACCAGCACTTATCTGGTGTCAGACACTGTTCTATTGGCTTGCATGTATTAACTCACTTGTTCCTTGAAATAATTGTGAGGAAGAGACTATTACCCCTTTTTATAGATGAACATACAGGTAGACTGAGTTGTTTTTTTTCTTAATTTTTTTTTATTAACACAGTGTTAAACAAGTTTATGTTTTTTTTTTGTAGATCACTGGCTCACACATAATTCAAAACCCACAAAGAAGCTGAAAGTATTTTTTTATATTAAATGTGTTTTTCTTAGAAATCCTTCCTGTGTGCCAATCAAGCAGTAACTCTTGGTTATGCACCATTTTATATTTGTCACATTTATACAGCAAGACAATGAAGGCACAACTAATAAAAGCAAACATAAACCCTTTCTACTTCTGTGCTGGGGGTGTGTGCACACGCTTGGATTGTTTCTTCAAGTATATATTTTTTCCAAACATACTAGCGTCAGCGAGGAGTTCTGATAACTTTCACAGTTATGCCCTGAAAGCAACATAACTGAAAGATTTCACAAAGGTCAAACTACTACATAATACTTAAGACACATGCTGTGCAAAATTTGCTACATTTTACATCTCTTCAAGTAAATTAATGTTTCTAAAATGCTAGATTGATTTAATACTTAAACATTTGGGGTAGTTTTTACACCTTTGTAAATAGACAATACTAAGCAAACACATAAACATGTTACTGTAAGTAATGAATACATATGTTGATAATATTATGCATTATACACCCTCTTTCTTGAGGCCGTGTTTCTGAAACACATATTTAGAACATCAATCAGAATTTGAAATGGCCGTTTTCTTTGCGTCCTTAGAAGTAGTGTCAGGATCTCCATCACAGGCTTCCTGTCTGCCCTCTCTGCTCTGAAGCATGCAGCTGATGTCAGGGTAGGAAAAGCAAAGTCTTGAAGATGGAATCTTTCTTGTGTTTGGTTTCTCTGTATTGGGAAACGTCAGGACTAAAGAAATTGAAGGGTTAAGAATGGAAAACGAGTTCAGCCCCAGCTCTGGTGTCCCATGTGTAATGATTGCATCCTGACTGGGTTTCAAAGTGATGTTCCTTAGTTCACATCTTCTGACACCTGTTTTAAGCCTCAAATTTCAGTCTTTACAAAAGATAGATGAAAAGAAAATCAGCTTATTTCACCTTCAATATGTTTTGATACCTTTGTTTTGTTCAACGGGAAAATGAAATTTGAAATGGGCTGGCCAGGATCATCTAATTGCTTTAATTTAGGAATGTCAGAATAAATTCACATTGTATTTTTTATCTAAAACCTGAGCCCTTTGAAGTCCACTAATATTAAAATAACGGGAGGAGGGTGTCTGGCATCTTCCCTGACACTCTTACTTCTTGGCGTCCTGGGGCACTTAGGCACTGCTAGCTCCTGTGGCGGCCTCCTCCTCCTCCTCCTCCTCCTCCTCCTGCTCCTCCTGCTCCTCCTGCTCCTCCTGCTCCTCCTGCTCCTCCTGCTCCTCCTGCTCCTCCTGCTCCTCCTGCTCCTCCTGCTCCTCCTGCTCCTCCTGCTCCTCCTGCTCCTCCTGCTCCTCCTGCTCCTCCTGCTCCTCCTGCTCCTCCTGCTCCTCCTGCTCCTCCTGCTCCTCCTGCTCCTCCTGCTCCTCCTGCTCCTCCTGCTCCTCCTGCTCCTCCTGCTCCTCCTGCTCCTCCTGCTCCTCCTGCTCCTCCTGCTCCTCCTGCTCCTCCTGCTCCTCCTGCTCCTCCTGCTCCTCCTGCTCCTCCTGCTCCTCCTGCTCCTCCTGCTCCTCCTGCTCCTCCTGCTCCTCCTGCTCCTCCTGCTCCTCCTGCTCCTCCTGCTCCTCCTGCTCCTCCTGCTCCTCCTGCTCCTCCTGCTCCTCCTGCTCCTCCTGCTCCTCCTGCTCCTCCTGCTCCTCCTGCTCCTCCTGCTCCTCCTGCTCCTCCTGCTCCTCCTGCTCCTCCTGCTCCTCCTGCTCCTCCTGCTCCTCCTGCTCCTCCTGCTCCTCCTGCTCCTCCTGCTCCTCCTGCTCCTCCTGCTCCTCCTGCTCCTCCTGCTCCTCCTGCTCCTCCTGCTCCTCCTGCTCCTCCTGCTCCTCCTGCTCCTCCTGCTCCTCCTGCTCCTCCTGCTCCTCCTGCTCCTCCTGCTCCTCCTGCTCCTCCTGCTCCTCCTGCTCCTCCTGCTCCTCCTGCTCCTCCTGCTCCTCCTGCTCCTCCTGCTCCTCCTGCTCCTCCTGCTCCTCCTGCTCCTCCTGCTCCTCCTGCTCCTCCTGCTCCTCCTGCTCCTCCTGCTCCTCCTGCTCCTCCTGCTCCTCCTGCTCCTCCTGCTCCTCCTGCTCCTCCTGCTCCTCCTGCTCCTCCTGCTCCTCCTGCTCCTCCTGCTCCTCCTGCTCCTCCTGCTCCTCCTGCTCCTCCTGCTCCTCCTGCTCCTCCTGCTCCTCCTGCTGCCCCTGCTGCTCCTCCTCCTCCTCCTCGTCCTCGTCTTCACAGTCGTCTTCATCCTGGTCCTCCCTCTCCAAAGTCCACGCACACTCCTCCATCTCGCCCGTGAGCTTTTGGATCTTGGTGACCAAGGACTTATAAATGTCATTGTACTTTTTCTCCAGAGCCTGAAATTCCTTGTCGAATTTGGCCTCTATCTTATCACATCGCCTCTGCAGCTTTTTGAGTGCCAGGACGCGGCACTTGACGGAATTGGGCAGGCTCTCAAGAAAGTCATTCCTGGGCTTGGGAGCGTTCTCCGCGGGGCCTGGGGCTCCTTGGACTCCTGTTTGGCCGCACTGGCTGCCGCAACTCCCTGGGCCAGTACCTCCAAGCCGTGGCGGAGGCCGAGGCTGTGTCCGAAGGCTGCCGGTCCCGCCCGCCGCCACTCACTGGCTGCCGCTCGCACTGTGCTAAGTGTGACTGTTGCCACCCAGTGCCCGGCCCAAAACCCGCATCTGGATGCCGCCCTTGTCTTGTGCAGCGAATTCCGCGGGCGTGGGGCGCCTTTCCCGAGCCGCTTGTGCGGGCTCATCCTGTTCGCATCGCGCCCCTCACTCCCAGGCCCTTTCCCTGGCGCTGCTGGTGCGCCTGTCAGCCGTTGTTTCCACCTCCACCGCAGGCGTTGGCCTGCCTTCCTAATTGCTGTCTCCCTTAGTCCCCTCCATCCTCCTACTTGATCATGTCTTCAGATTCCTTTTGTAGGAAGCAGAAGCCCTGAAGAGGCCCCTTCCACCTCTTTGGTTCCTGGTTGGCCGACATACAGTCCATCCCCTCACCCACATCATCTCTTCCCTTGGCTAAAGCCACTTGACAGTACGAGTGGCTTTTCTCATGTTACATATAACAAATTACATAACAGGCTGTGTTTCGATCACGTAATCGACATAATGAGGCCCAAACTAGGCCCTTTGACTCCTATAGTATAGAAGTTGTGATAATTTTTTAAAAGCTCAAATATTAACCACATCTCCTTTATGAATTTAGCTTGTTTGAGACGACCAGGATGCTGTACTCATCTTTCAAGGTTGTTATATTCTTTCACGAGATCTTAAAATTTAGTGTTAGGCAAGGCAGTTTTTAAAAGGTATAATTTAGTACAATAAAATTCACCCTTATGGGGCATGCCTTCGTAAAGAAATGCAGTTGTCACAGTTTCGATCTGGGATGTTCCCTAAAAATCTGATGTGTTCGAAGGTGGGGCTTGTAGAAGACAATTGGATCATGGGGGTGTTATGCTCGTTGGTGGTTGACCGATTAGTGAGTTCATAGCTAAAAGAGCTGTTAGAAGGTGAGGCGAGGTTGGAAAAGGTCTGCCACTGTGGGATGTGCTTTTTGAGGGTATATTTCCATCCCTGCTCTTACCTTCACTCTCTGCTTCCTGGCTGCTGTGCCTTTCTGTCATGTTTCTGCCCCACTTTGGACTGAATCCCCTGAACCATGCACTGAATTAAACCTTTCTTCCTTTAAGCCGTGGGTGTCAGGTATTGTGTTCACTGTTTTGAAAACTGACTAATACATCAGCCATATAAATAAATACTGTAGTTAGTAGTCAGGATATAAAACAGTAATATTATTTGCCCCAAAATACTCTTGTGGCCTTTTTCCCACTTCTAGCATTGGTGACCACTGTCACAGTTATTTTGTTTTTTCTAAAATGTCATAAATGGAATTTTATGTGTAACTTTTTGAGAGTGGCTTTTTTCACTAGCGTAATATGTTTGAGATCCATCTTGTTCTTTAAAATAACTTGTTCCTTTTTAATATTGAGCAATCATCCCATTTAGGATTTCCATTTTTCTAAATTATAAGCAGTGCTACTATGAACGATGCTAGGTCTCTATTTCTCTTGGGTCAGTACCTAGCAGTGGAAATACTGGTTCATGTGGTAGGTGTCTTAATTTCTTGTTGCTGAGACAAAATACCTGATACCCAAAGTTAATAGAGGAAAGGTTTATGTCTGCTCACTGATGGTAAAGGGTTCAGTGTTCATAGTCAGCTGTCTCCAAGACAGGGTAGCACGGCAGAGGGACATCACAGAGGAGACAGTCCATAACAGAGCAGACAGGAAGAAGCAGGCTGTAGGCAAGCTTCCTTTTCTCTTTTATCCCATCAAGGCTGAAACTCTTTTGGGCAGTGCCACCCACTCCCAGGGTGGGCCTTCTCATTATCTATACTCAGAACTATGATAAACCAATTAGTGGGGCTAAGCCAGTACCACACACCCTTAATCCCAGTGTCACACACTCATGATCCAGCCATCTTCCAAAAGCCTCACCTGTGAGTATATGAGGCTTTAGGGGTATGTCTATATCCAAGCCTTAACCATAAGCATATATTTAACTTTATAAGTAACTGCCTCACAGTTTTCCAAAGTGGCTGTGTGCCATTTTGCTTTTATACCAGTAATGTGTGATAGCTACAGTTCACACACATCTTCACCACCATCTGCTATTGTCAGGTTTGCTTTTTTCTCCCTAATCTGATAGTTGTGTAGTGGTATCCTTAATGATTCATGATTTCCCAGTGTGCTTATGTGCCAGTTGTATATTTTTGATAAAGTGTCTAATTAACCTCTTTGCTCATTTTCTAAATTTTTGTTTTCATTTTTATTGTACTTTATTCTTTATATTTTTGAATATGTCTTCTATAAAAAATGTACTTTATAAATATTTTCTTTCATCCTGTGCCCTTTCTTTTTATTTTATAGCAGATTTTTAAAATGTCAGTTTTATTAATTTGAGTCTTATTGTCTTAGTTACTTTTCTCATTATTGAGACAAAATACTCAACTCCCAAAGTTAAAAGAGAAACAAGTATATTTGGTTTTTGTTTTGTTTTGTTTTGTTTTGTTTTTCAGCGCATAGTTTTAAAAGTTGCAGTTCAAAGTCGACTGTCTCCAATGCAGGGTGGAATGGTAGAGGGGCATCACAGAGGGAAAGGACTTCATGGTGGGCAGAAGGCAGCAAAGCAGCAAAGTAGTGAAACAGCAAGTGAATAGCAGTGACAACAGCAGCCCTCTTTCTGTCCTTTGTGTTACATACCCTTAGAACAAATAGCCTTCACACCCAGGGAGGACTTTCCCAGAACTGTGCCAAACCAATAAGTGGACTAATTTAGTAATCACACAACCTTGATCCCAGCACCGGACAGATAATCCCAGTATCACACACTTTAGATCCAGATACCTCTGAAGAGCCCCACTGAAAAGCATGAGGCTTTGGGGAGACACCTAGACATAAGTCATAACACTCATGGAGTGTGCTGTTGAGAAAAGCGTGAGGCTTTGGGGAGACACCTAGACATAAGTCATAACACTCATGAAGTGTGCTGTTGGTGTCATTCTGAGGAAATCTCTGCCAAATCCAAGACCATAAAGTTTTTTTTACCTATGTTCTCTTTTACAAGTTTTGTAATTTTCAGTTTTGCACAGATGTTTTTTTTTCTTAAATAGGATGCTTTTTCTAAATACAATGATCCAACACTATTTATTGAAAACACCATACTTTCCTGAATTACATTTCAAATTTATCACAAATCAAGTGACTTTATATATACAGTGGACCCCTGAATTACAACTGGCTTGACATACAGTTTGTGTTATGACTGGAATTTTAGTTTTAACTTGTGACCAATCTTGAGTTATAACCTGAATGCTGGCTGCTGTGCTTCCAGATGGTCTCATATACAGATTTAATCCTTTTAAAGAGTTCTGGAAGGGACACTACACCGTCCTTTCCTGTGTAGGGTTGAGAAATCCTGGGCCAGTGTCTCTGTAGAGACTGAGATCTGCCTGTATACAGAAGAAGGACTTTGAAGGCTGTGTAGAGGAACCTGATCTTTCAGTTGACCAACTTGAGTTACAACCAACCTTCAAGAATGGAGTTTGTAAGTCAAGGGTCCACTATACTAATCTGTTTTTGGACTTTTTCTTCTGTTGCATTTACTTTTTTTTTCAAATACTTGGGCCAAAATATTCCCTGCATTTACTTACATATCTGTTATTTCACTAATATAACACTTGGTAACTGTAACTTCATAATAAGTCTTGAAATCAATTAACGAGTTTACTAATTTCATTCTTTTTCAAAGCTGTTCTGGCTTTTCTAGTTCCTTTGCCTTTCTGCTTGACAACTAGAACCTATAGTATAATTTGTATTCAGACATCTAAAAATCATTACCAATGCATATAGTATTTGTTCCTTAATATATGTTTTAAAACTTCAGTCACTTTGTTAAGGTTTTTTTCATTTGTTGCTTTTTATAGTCTGGTGCTTAATTGGTGCTGCACTCATACAGAGTTGTGAATATTATCAGTGAGCTGTAATGCTATGAAGGCATATGGTAACTCTTGCAGCTGTCACATTGAAATGAAAAGAAGCAAGGTGGAAGGAAGGGATGCCATTCTGATGAAGTAGTTGGAAGCATAGGTCTGTACTAAGGCACGTGGTTTTGATTTCTGCCCCTGTATTATCTGTCTTGGACTGAATTCTCAAGTCAGAATAATGATCATCTCAACTTGAAAAGGATTATTATTTTTCTTAATTTCTCATATTTTATTGTAATATAATCTTCATGACATGAAATTGACTCAAAGGGTGGTTTTGAGTGTTTGCTGGGACAATGTATATCTAAGAACTTATGGCAGGGACTCACACCTAGTGAGCACTGCAACTGCTTATGATCAGCATGAGAGAAAAGGATATTTTGAGAGCAATACTAGTTGACACGCAATGATTGAAGTACTTTTGTTAGTTTGCTAGGGATGCTGTGGGAGAATTGTTCAGTAGTTTTGCAGATTAAAAATCCAAAATGAGGTATTTGACAGGTCATTTCTTCCTGAAGCCTGCAAGGGAAGGATCTGCATCAGGCTGCTCTCCTTGCAAATGGCTGTCTTCTGCCTGTGTGTCTTCATATCATCTTTCTTCTATAAGTACCTCTGTACCCTAACAACTTCATTTAAAATTGGTTCTTAGTAAAATCTGTATCACCAAATAGCCATACATCCTGAGGTCCTGGGATTAAGGCTTCAGTATATGAATGTGATGGAACATAATTCAGCCTGTAGTGCCCTACCCCCCATGATAAATTCATGTCCTTGTTATATACAAAATGAGTTAACCTCATTTCAGCAGCTGCAGAAATCTTAACCTGTTCAAGCATCAGCTCGAGTCTACCATCTCATCTGTGACAGTGCATTCTGTATGCCAACTTGACTTGATCAGGAGATGCCTGCATACTTGGCCAAACATTATTCTGGGTGTGTCTGTGAGACTGTTTCTAGATGAGATTAATGTTTGCTTGAGATTGGGTAAAACACATTGCCTTCTCAAATGCCAATGATCTTTATCCAGTCAGTTTAGACTAGAGATAACTTGGCAATTTTTTTCTTCTTTTAGAAGTGCAATACACTATAGGCTCTCTGGGTCTCCAGCTTGCCAGCTGCAGATCTGGGACTTCTCTCTTCTATAACTGTGTGAGCAAGTTCCTTATAATAACCCCCACATAGCTTATTGGCTCTGTTTCTACAGGGAAC